ACAAATTCTCTTTCAGATGTGTCGGATCTGCCCCTCTCCGATGGTGTGAGCAACGACCGTGCACCGCGGACGACTCCGACCATTCCACCAAGACGACCGCAACGCAATCGACGATTACCAAGCCGACTCCAACTGAACCCTGAGAGGCTCCGATACGATTCAACTTAAGAGGGGAGGAGTTGCAGGGTATTATTGATCTATGTCAATTATACATGTTATCATAGACTTTGCAAAACCGCGCATTGCACGTAGCTCTATCAGATTGGTACTCAGAGGTTTACCTGATCGAGTTCATGCACAGTTCCGTTCAGTTCTGTTTTCCAATAAATCTACATATCTACTGGCGTACCTCGACTGTCTACAAGTACATCTACAACAGGAGCATGAGTAGGACATTCGCGTCGAGAAGGAGAAAGTAGTTACTCCAAGTGTAGTTTACGTTACTGTTGTGGATTTTGTTCACCAAACAATCTCATTGCCATTCGTTCTTTATTCAGCACTTTCGTCGTGTGATCGGTTCAAAGCCAGTGCTTCCAGCACACTCGTGCAATCTCCAGAGAGGAAGTTAGGTTGAAAAGTGAGTAACTTCAATGCCGTTTTTCTTTAGGAGGAGAGCTTCGGGTCATATCATCGAGGAGATGCATTGGTAGTGGATGGCGAGCTTGATCGTAGGTCTGGGACGTTGTCGACTGTACCTTGAGAAGCCGACGGCCACCCTTGAATCCTCGAGATGAGTCATGGATACAGTGAACGAACCAGGCGCGAGGGTTACATTATTGCGAGGTGTTGCAGAATGAAAGGAAAAGCGGCTCACTTTGATCTACACCCCCACTATCGTTTAGACTCTACTCAGCTGATAAGATCTCACCTCTCAGGCTTTTCCTTTCCTTACAGTAAGCTTTCTTACGCATTCTTGCCTTTGGGAGTACTGTTTTTTCACCATCTGACTCTTACAAGTGCAAGGCAGTTTGAGACAATTTTGGCTTGATGTAGTCAGCTCTTTGCGCAATTGCGTCAACTGAAATCTCATCCGAATAATTCTGAGTCACTTTTTCTGGGTCGTCGCAAAGTGGAAGTGATGATGAAAAATAGTGCATTGGTAACGAACAATGTGAGAAAATCTGCTCTGACTTGGCGAAAAATAGGGCCTATTAAAAGTAATGAAAGTAGACTTGTACTTTACTTACTACTTACTTTTATGCCTTACTTTTCGCGAAGTCAGCAAATTTTGTCACATTGTTCGCTACCAATGCACTATTTTCCACGATCACTTCCACTATGCGTCTACCCAAAAAGTGTGACTCAAAATTGTGGTGAACTGAGTTTTTATGGTCGGTAGCTTGTTTTCGACTGGTGAGTACGCATCGCGAAGCATAGAGAGAGGTCTAGATTGTAGAAGTATTCTAATAGACCATTAGGAATTTTGAGCTGACGCCTGACTCACAGTCATTCTATTGATGGTAGAGATCTGCGTTGTTAGCTGTTCTTACAAAGGGGCAGACCACGCCCAAAATTGGCAAGACGATGTTGGTCAGTGCTGGTGGGCTGCACTACGAGTTGACTGATTGATTAGGCTCACCAGTTTTGGTCGTTTTAATAATATATTTTTCAAACATCTCAGCTTGGTTCTAACCTATGATTCATTGATATACAAGGTTTAACAGTTCCAAGTAGACAATCACACCCCGCTCAGAAGCTACATCGAATTGGCTACGCCAAGGTCGTAGTTACAGCCATTCCCCAAAAGCAGATTGGATAGGAAGGGCCACGCGAAACGACCTCACACCGTGTGGTGTTCATCCTACTTCTGTGTATAGCTTTCAATCCAACATTCTCTTTCTTAACTCTGAGGTATGTTAGCGTTGGATAAGTAACCCCGGCTCATTTGCTTTTACTTAATCTTCTACATGCGAGGTTTTTCGTCACAGTTGCTCCACTACAGGAGACCTTTACCATTTGAGAAATCTTTTGAGTTGTTTTTATATTTTATATTGAATGCAGGTCATTACTTTACAGGAAGAAACATCGGAGATGTTAGGACAATTTCCAAAAAGTTTAAAGCCTCTCTTCGAGAGTATAAAGCCTTCTCTCGATTGAGTGCTTTGAGGAGCCCTAGCCTTGCGGGCGTTCGAGCCATGTGGGAATCATGCCATCGGACAACACTGTTTGGCATCGTTTATGCGGACAGTTTTGAGATTTAAAAATTACTTCCGCCCATTAAATAATGTTCTTGTGTGGTTTTATAACCGTCCAATAATCATTAGCCAACGTAGCGCCTAATGGACATATAGCATCCCCAAAATAAACTATTCATCATAAAACAAGAGCCATATATCCATTAGCAAAAATAATTTCTAATGTACATATATACTTCATGCAATAATAATAATGTAATACCAATATTCAATTGGAAGGAAAGGATAACGGGTAACACCTATGACAACAGCAAACTATTTTGTCTTTATATGCACAA